GAAGAATCTACGCCTTCCTACAAATCCCCTCCCCCTCCACCATACTACAAAGAATCTATGCCTTCCTATAAATCTCCTCCCCCTCCACCAAACTACAAAGAATCTACGCCTTCCTATAAATCTCCTCCCCCTCCACCATACTACGAAGAATCTACCCCATCCTATAAATCCTCTCCCCCTCCACCATACTATGAAGAATCTACCCCATCCTATAAATCCCCTCCCCCTACACCATACTATGAAGAATCTACCCCTACATATAAATCCCCTCCCCCTCCACCATACTACAAAGAATCTATACCTTCATACAAATCGCCTCCTCCTCCACCAAAGATCTATGAACAATCACCATTATACTACTCACCTCCACCATCACCATCACCAGTCTACTAGAAATATTTATCAAACCATTCACTTCAACCATTTCGCCATTTCTTTTACTCTTAAATCCTTTTCTTCCTCCTAATTGGAGAAATTCCATTTCAACTGCTAAATTTGTATGTGTGTTTTCCCAAAGGGTCGATTTTTCTTGTTATGTGATCTTTTGAACTAATAATTTATAATATGCAATTTTTTATATTTATATAAGATGTTGAGACCTCCAACATTTTGGCTCATTGTATCAACCTCCTTTTGATCTAATCAACTGATGTGATCTTTTGTATTAATAATAATTTATAATATGTATTTTTTTATATTTATGTAAGATGTTGAGATCTTCAACATTTTGGCTTATTGTATCAACCTCCTTTTGATCTAATCAAATGATGATAATTGCATTCTTAAAAACATATATGATTCTAGTCAATACATGATTTGTTGTTAAATGTGTGTATACAGCTTATAAGATAGTGTTAATAATTCCTATAGTAACTGCCTCGCAAAACAAAGTTTTTTCAAAACTAAAATTGATAGAATCTTAGCTAAGATCAGCAATGTCTCTAGAATGATTAAACGGATTGATTAATTGACTATAATTTTTAATTGAAAAAGATCAATTAATTGAAGTATTCGATTTTGACTTTCTTTTAATGATTTTTCATTTCAAAAAACTAGAAATGATGAACTCTTTTCACGTAGAGTCCTCTGATCATCTTGCACAAGAAGGGTAATCGTCGATATCTATCACAGTTACATCCAAAATGTCCTTTACTATCATATATCAGTCGATATATCGAGTCATATATTTGTGTACAAGCTAAAGTTTAACATTAGTTACAATATTATTTCTATTAGGTTGCGAATTAATGTACTACCATATATTTTTTTACTAGTTATTACCTTATAACTAAAATGAATATACAAATATTCTTTTACATTGTTAATGCATAAAACATAAATCTCTTCTTTTTCTTAGCTTGTACACATATAAACTTTTGCTTGAGGAAGAAAATGTTAAATCTCTTTCTTTTTTTAAAATGAAGAGGCAACAATAAATGTTTGTATCATAATTAAAAACAAGATTAAAATCATCTTAATTCTCATAATTTTATTTCTTTTATTTGATGACCATTCTTCATTTCTCTTACTACCTTACAATCACACAATTATTTCCCCTACCCTCTGTCTTCTACTCCCCCT